GCGGCCGAGGCAGTGCCAAGGACAGGGACAGGTTACCCACACTTTTCCCATCCCTAAGTATGGAGTTAGTCTAGTACCACATTAATGCCTTGGAGCATTAGTAGCCAAAGCTCAACAACATCGTGTAACTCAGCTAATGTGTGTCCTTTCTATTCGATGGGTAGGCGCTGCTATCTGTAGTAAATGTGTTTTTTTGGAGAAGAAGTGCAACGAGGGCCTGTTAAGTATCTTGTGGTTAATATGCTCAAGCATTGCCAAGTAAGCAAGAGGTTTTGCAGCATCCAGGCATAATTCAACATCAGTATTATAAATGGTAGCAAACTACCTAGTTTATATGTAGGGTCAGTTTAACCAATAACAAATAGTTATTAGCTTTTTTTATTACATTTTTCCTTTACTGATTTGGACTAGTGGGTTTATGTCTAATGTTTGTAAAATGATTTAGACTGCATGGATGTGTAATATAAACCACATTTAATGGATTATGAGCCACTTAATTAATGTGCTATGAAATCTTGGATTACCTGTGTTTTATATTCTGCAGACGATTTTGCAGTGGGTTCGCTAAAACTTGTAAAAGTGCTTAGATATATTTTCCTTTAAATCCAAGAATGTGCACAGTATTGGAAGGTGATTGTCCAGGGGATAATCACGCTTTTTTTGATATCTCTATTGATTCTCAAGTTGAATGCTAAGAGTTAAAGGGGGGGAGGCGGGGGGAGCGAGCGCGTGCACACGAGAGCGAGAATGAGAGGACGAGAGCTTGGGGTGATGAGTGGGCACCTTTCAGAGGGTAAACTGGGCTGCAAGATCGTCTCTATAGATTTTTGAAATGCTCCTACTGCATTTTATATTTCATTGTATCATATTTTCTATAAAATGCAATTTCTGTAAATTAATGAGCATTTGAAATGTGTCTTGTATGAAGTGGAATATGGTAAAAGTCTGCCCGAGGGGACTTCAGCATTACCAGGATGTTATTAACTACCAAGGGTGAGATCTTTCTTTTTGTCTTGGTTGGTCAGTCAATGGGTCAGTTTGTCTTTCACGGCTCAGAGAGCAAACTCACTCTCACCCAAGGTTCTTGAGGAGACCAGGAGGCAATATGTGGACCTCAGAGGAGAGGGATGGCACTAATGGCCGCAGCAAGGTGAGGATGTCACACCACGGGCATGGGCTGGCAGCACCTGACACTCTTCCAGATTCCCATTCCATTGTTGTGAACTCAGTCATCTTGTGTGGCCTCCATGAAAGTCTTGGTTTGCTTCTGCCGTGTGCCATCCCCCTCCTCTTGACCACTCTTGGCAAACCTCACAGCCCCCTGCTCCCAGCCACCTGGCACAGAGGCTGCGTGGCCCCGCAGCCTCTCTTCCTTACCCATGGCACTCTTGATTCTTCCCTGTTTCTTTTGGAAAAGCCACGGGCTGGAATATTTCACCACCAGGGCTTTGCACCTCTGCAGAAGCTGCCTGGGCACAGGCACAGTGAATAATAAAAACACACTTGGTGTTTCTTGCTGCTGGTGTCCATCGCCGTAGCCCCATCACCAACACGGGAGGAGGATTCAGCTCGAGGGCCAGGTGAGGCCAATGGTTCTCCATCCACGGGTCCGTGCCACTGCCTGCCAGCTCCATGTGGCTCCTGGAATGCTCGTGTGGATCCTGCCAAGCCAGGTCTCTGCCGTGAGCTGTGCCTTGCCATCCACCTGGCACTGCTCACCTGGGAGAGCAGCTCAATCCCTGCTCCAGAGCACTTGGTGCTTCACATCTGCTGCAGTTTTAGCTGGGATGAGGGATTCCGGGTGGGGAGGGGCTGCCAGGGGTGTGGGACAGCAGCTCCAGGCCATCAGCAGTGCACTCTCCCCAGCTGTGCAATAAGGAGCTGCTCTAGCCATGAAGGGGATGTTGTCTGACTTCAGCTTGTCTAAACATTTCATGTTTTCAAGAACATTTATGCAACCTAAGTCAAACAAAACTCTTTGAGTGATTAAAAATAAACCAACCTGTTTCCATTGGCGACTTTTTTTAAAATCAGTGGATATTTTTTCCTACAGCATTTGCAATCCAGCCGTTCCAATCCCATGAGCCTATAAATCAAACCAACCAGATTATTGTGTTTTGACCCAGTTCTGTTCAGTCTCCCTCTGCAGGACCTCCTCCTTCTTTTCCTCTTCCCCTTTCTGCTCCCTGTATACTCCCTCTGTGAGGTTTACAGCCCCACCAGCAGCAGAAGCAGCATCAGGCCACTTCTCTTGCAGTGGGATTGTTGGAAGGTAAGCGAGGGGCACATCCAGCAGTGAAAACAGAACACTTTTTACAAACATTTTGCTTGCTAATGTTTGTAACCCAGCTAAAAAAATTTACATTAATCCACGGTGTCCCATTGACAAGGTGAATTTGCCATCACTCAGTCCCCCTGTGATCCTCATGGATGGGACACAGTGACAGCTGGAGGCAGCTTACAAGGAGCTGTGGTGAGGCAAAGAACCCTTTGGCTGAGCCTGCAGTTGCTGTTTATTCTGAGAGGCAACAGGAGGGGTTAATGCATTGAGATCAGAGTCCTAATTCCCTGACTAATATAAACTAAAACATTAAACTATTTAAAGAAGTGTTCCCCACTCTTTTTACCCTACAAGGCAGTGGGGAAGGGCGTGTTTTCAGGCAGGTGGAGGGTATTCTGTCCCTAAAACACCACTGTTACCCCATAGCACTGCCAGGGGACACCAGCACAGCTCTCCCTGCTGTCTCAGGGATGAGTTCCCAAGCCACACGTGTGGCTTCCCTATTTCCTAAGGATGAGGATTGCACATCCCTGAGCCAGGGACAGTGCAGGTGCAGTGTCACTGCTGAACCCACAGCCACCCCTGGCAGAGCATGACCCAGAGCCCTGCTGGTGTTTATCATGCAGCCTAAAGCTGGGAGCAGCGTCAGTCTCAGAAATGCCTTGAAAGGCAAGGAGGAGATTCAGCAGGTAATTAATGACAGTAAATAGGCAAGTCTGTTCTAGGTGTCCCACGTTCTAGTCATGGTTTCGCCTCTGGTTTTGTGTTTTCCATTTTTTCCCCTTTTTTGTTGGACCAGGTGAGGCTGTTGGCAGTTGTACGATGCTGATGGGGAGTTTGCTCCCCATGGGTTTTTAGGGATAGTCAGGTCCAAATCCAGCCTTCAGAAGTGGGGTTTCAGAGGTGGCTGTAACTGCTTCACAAAGGGTGGATGCTCGGGCATTGAAGAGAGGCAATGGTCAGTGCAGCGTCTGTACCACACAATATGCCAAGATTGCAACTTTGTTTAATCTAAAAAAAAAATATATATATTAAAGGTAAAATACGGAACTTTTATTTGTGATGTCTTTTGGAGCTCCTTATTTTAAGTGTG